AGTGAAAGGGAATGAAAACAGTCCAGTGTTTACTCAACTATAGCAATATAATCTTTACCCAGACTTCTCTGTCGCCATATGGCGACAGGGCCCCTGGACAAAGCAGTAAATGCAAATATTCCCTCTGGAAATGCAAAACAGTTTTTAAACAAACCCTAGTGTGTTTAGCGCAACCTGGGCTTGACAGATCACGTGGAAGGTGCAGTGTGTGTGTTATCAGATAGGATCAGGGAGTGACAAATATTTTAGGTCCTCCACTGGCGCGTTTGGATTTTTGACTGCAGAAGGTGCCGCTCTATCTGGGTAAATTTCCTCCCACTCGCTCTCCAAGAGACAGAAAGCCTGCACATCAAGACTTCTCTTTCCCCAATGGCTCTGGGTAAAGGTTGGATCCTGCAGAATGGATCTAAGCCTTGAAAAGTACACAGACAGAGCTGAAAGAGGAAGTGGGGAAAGAGCACAACTCTTCCAACTTCCTCCTCCAGTTCTATGGGCTTTTCAAAAAAGAAGGAACCGAACATTGTCATGACCAAGGGGGCAGTGAGGCAGGGGCCTAGAATGCTTGTGGATACCGGGGGAATACCCCCCCCTCCCTAGGACACCATTGCACCCGTGGGAGGCATGTTGGCAATTCCAACTATAGGAAAACATTAGAGACGAGAAGTTATTTATGTACGCAGTAACAGCAGCTAGAATTTTGGTGGCCCAGAAGTGGAAACAGGAAGAAATTCCGACGAGGGAAGAATGGAGAATGAAATTGATGGAATACGCAGAGATGGATAAACTAACAGGGAGAATTCGGAACCGACGAGACCAGAGATTCACCGAGGACTGGAACAAATTTACAGATTATATCAAAAATATATGTGAGGAGCAGTTAACGTTTGTTGGTTTTCAAGAAGCTCTGTGAAAATAATTGGTAGAAATATTGCTTAAAAGGATATGATAAGATTAAGATTGTTAAAGTGCAATATAAATTTAAGAAATGTGAGTAATAGTGATAACATGGGAAATTGTCAGACAAGCTGAGGGAAGTCTAAAAGATGTAGATGTTAGCAATCGATGTTAAATTTTGGCGGAATGTATATTGAAAATTTAATAAAAATTAATTATATATAAAAAAGGAAAACATTAGAATCTGAGGCTGTGTACACACCATGCATTTAAAGCACATGGCTTCCCCCAGAGAATGCTGGGAAATGTAGTTTACTTCTCACAGAACTACAACTCCCAGCACCCTTAACAAACAACTGTTCTCAGGGTTCCAGGTTGGGGTGGCGACGGATACACGTCGCCTTAGAAAGCTGGAGATAGTGTTGAAAACCCACGAGGTGGAGACAGGGAACCAGGGGAGCTGAAGCCGCAACATAGCTCAGTCAGTAAAGTATAAGGCTCTGAATCTCAGAGTTGTGGGTTTGAGCCCCACGTTGGGCAAAAGATTCTTGCATCGCAGGGGGTTGGACTAGATGACCCTCATGGTCCCTTCCATCTCTGATGATTCTATGAAAGTCCAGCCTGATGGGGGTTTTGATGACGTTGCTCTGAAATGCATGAGGAACGACTCGTACAGGCATCCTACCGATAACATGAGCCAGGTTAAACGGTGTTCGTGGGAATCACAGTGCCAACATCTGTGAGCAAGGCCTTCTGGGAATTTAAAAAAGCCTTACATCTTTCACATTACGCCTTTCCCCCTCCCAGGTGCTGCTGCTGCTGCTCCTTCAGCCTGGACAACACAGTGAGTTGCTTCTATGATGATAGCCAACATTTTTATGTCAGTTTTGTGTGTGGCTTTAGCTTTGCAAGGAAATTCAGCAGGTGCAATTTTCACCAAGGTGGAGATGCATCAATGGGGAGGGGTGCACCTGTTGAAATGCTGCCTGCCTGAAAGCTGATGTAAAGGTACTGAAGCTTAGGTGATTACAGGAAAGCATTTTAGGCAGTGCTAAAATCCTCTTCACTGCAAGGCAGGGCGATACGGAAGAGTAGCTACCTCTGAACTCACCAGAGGTCAGTGTTCAACCAGCCCTAATTATATTTTTTTCGGACTACAACTCCCATCATCCCTGACTAAACTGGCCAAGGATGATGGGAGTTGTAGTCCAACAGCACCTGTGGACTCAAGGTCAAAGAACACTGGTTTAGATGAACCCTGAAGAGCAAACAGTGCCTTACGTAGAAGTTCATGTAAAGGTAGCTCAACAACCATTTCCCAGGTTGAGAACCCCGATTTGAGAGGGCACTTAACCCTTTCACCACCAGTTGTCCCCCAGCTCCAATATGCCCCTAACCCATGGTTTCCCACCATAGGGTTTCCAGACTGTTTGGAGGAATGAGAACCCAGTGTGAGAAGGGACAAGTGGGGAAACAAAAGAAGTAAGGGCAAGTTAGTCCCAGCATCCTAGTGACTAAACTACACAATGGCCATTAGCAAAGATGGCTTTTGGAAAGGATCAGATAAATTCACGGAGGAATATAGGAATTTTGCCTTATATTGAATCAAACCACCGGTCCATCTTGGTTAGAATTGTCTTCAGTGACCAGCAGTGACTCTCTTAAGATTTCAGACTTTCACAGGCTTACTTGGAGATGCCTGGAAGTGAACCTTCCTGCTGAACTGCAGCCTCATTCGCAAGCAGAGGATCAGTCTATCAAAGCCCACCAGCCAGGATAGACAGAATAGAGCCTCCATGTTCAAAGGCAGTGTGCTGTTGACTAATACCAGTTTCGGGGAACAAACATAAAGAAGGCTGCTGTTGCCTTCGTGCCTGGACTTTCCTTGAGGTTTCCAGCTGGCCCCAGCTATAAATAGGATTTTGGGAGACTAATCCAATCTAGCAGTGTGGTGCAGTGGTTAAGAGCGGTAGTCTCGTAATCTGGGGAACCGGGTTCGATTCCCCGCTCCTCCACATGCAGCTGCTGGGTGACCTTGGGCCAGTCACACTTCTCTGAAGTCTCTCAGCCCCACTCACCTCACAGAGTGTTTGTTGTCGGGGAGGAAGGGAAAGGAGATTGTTAGCCGCTTTGAGACTCCTGAAGGGGAGTGAAAGGCGGGATATCAAATCCAAACTCTTCTTCTTCTTCTTCTAGCAGGGGTCTTCTTGCTTTATTAAAAGTATTTTGATTTTGAAGGAACGGCCTCCTTCCTTGGGTTGAAAGAGAGTCATTTTGGCACAACTTGCTACCAATTTGTTTCTATGCCTGCTTGGTGTCGTCTCTTGCACTTTCTGGAGAATCTGTGTCCTTGTGTGCATGAGGGTCTTTTAGTTTCAGACGCAATTCTGCATATTTTATTCACAAACTGAATAATCCATAATGGAGATTCAACTTTCTGCATACTTGCCTCTTCCCCCTCTGCCTCGCCTCTCCAAAACAGGCAAAAATAAAGAATCCACAACTACTACAAAGCCGTCCACAACAAGTGCAGGTAAGTAGAATAACAACCTTTCTCTGGGCTTCTGATGTTGCCTCTTCCTGGCGTGGATTAATCTGAGATTAACTCAATATCTTCTGAAGCAGGAAGACGAGGAGCTGGTTAATGCCGAATCAGATTATCGATCCATCTAGCTCTAGCTCATGGGTAGGCAAACTAAGACCCAGGGGCTGGATCCGGCCCAATTGCCTTCTAAATCCGGCTCGCAGACGGTCTAGGAATCAGCATGTTTTTACATGAGTAGAACATGTCCTTTGATTTAAAATGCATCCCTGGGCTATTTGTGGAGCCTGCCTGGTGTTTTACATGAGTAGAATGTGTGCTTTTATTTAAAATGCATCTCTGGATTATTTGTGGGGCATAGGGATTCGTTCATATTTTTTTTCAAAATATAGTCCGGCCTCCCACAAGGTCTGAGGGACAGTGGATCCGCCCATAGCTGTCAACTTTTCCCTTTTCTTGCCAGGAATCCTATTCAGAATAAGGGAATTTCCCTTAAAAAAAGGGAAACGTTGACAGCTATGGACCACCCCCCTGCTGAAAAAGTTTGCTGACCCCTGAAATTTCTAGCTCATTAGTATTGAAACTGGTTGGCAGCCGCTCTGTTCTGGGGTTTCACGCAATGTACTTCCTCTGTACAGAACAGGAGAGAAACCTGTGGCCCTCCAGATATTGCAAAACTATTGCTCGCATCATCCCTGGCCATTGGCTATGCTTGCTGGGGCTGATGGGAGCTGTAGTTCACCAACATCTGGAGGACCGAAGGTTCCCAGCACTTTGTTTACAGGGACTGGCAGCTCTCCAGGGCTTTAGACAGACTCGGGGATTGAACCTGAGTCCTTCTGCACGCCTAGCAGGTGCTCTACCAATGAGCTATGACATTTCCCCTAAATACTGGCCTGAATTGAGGAGTGGATCTGCCACAAACATTAGAAGCTCAATGTCGGAGCTGGTTCTGCTGCAGGTCAGAACAGAGACTCAAAGATGAGCAGTAAAGTTGATTCTTTATTCGTGGAATCAGAATAAAAACAGAAACCTATGGGCAAGACTGGCCCCAGTAAAGCAAATGCCAAAACTGACAACATAGGTCTCTCACTTTCCCCTAAGTCTCCTCCCTAGCCAGCTGTTTCCCCAGCAGTCTTAAGCTCCATTGGGGAGGGCCTCCTTGTGCTCTTTGCTCTGCAACCTGCAAAGCCCTCCATGTCCTTGGAGACAAGAGAGAAGTGTGGGAATGTTCAGGGAGGCAGGAGAGGATATATTGTTTATTAATATCCTTCCGAACTTGCGCTAGCAAGTTCTATAACTTAGCAGCGTTTTACATTCCCCTTTTAAATGCACAGCGGATAGCTGGTTGCAGGCTTGTTTAAGCCTCTCAATAACAGATTCCTGGTAATTTCCCTTATATCCCTCTTCAAAGAATAAACATGCCACAATCTTGTGTAAAGTATATAAAAGAAGTTTACTCACATCATCAGTTCACAGTTGGATCCCTGAAGGCAGACTTAGTTACAAAGTATATATATACATGTGGATCTATCCCATATGGAGATAATCCCAGTGTCCTCTGTTGGCTGAGAGCCAACAGAGCAATTTTAGCTAAAAGCTGCTCCAACGATGGAGGAGAGAGAGTGTGCTGCGTGACTTGCCCTTTTGTTACCTGGACAAGTAAGGCAACACCCACCTCTAGTCACATGCAAAAGGAAGTATGTTCCAGCCAGGAAGAAACAGGAATTTTCAACTGGCTGGAGCAAACATTCCCCTCCATGTCCAGTCTAGGAAAACAAGGAATGTTGTATTTGACTGCTACTTATGTCTCACATCCCACAAGAAGGAGAGCTGAATACAGTAGGACCAGGCGGGGCTAACACCCTAAACTAGCTCCCCAACCACCTTGGTATCCTCCAGATTCTGCTGTTGGACTCCAGTTCCCATCAGCCCCAGCCTGCACAGCTATTGGTCAGGATTGATGGGACTTGCAGCCAACAAGTGTCTGGTAGACACCACACTGGGGAAAGGCTTCTCTAACCCCTGCCTTCATTTCGTTGCCACCACAGATCCCTGCAAATACCATGGGGAAGTCGGTGGAAACTTTGTCATTGTGTACTGTCCCTTGGATAATGCAAATGTCACAGAAGTTTTCAGAAGACCAGAGGTGATGGACCAGGATCCAGGCTGCGTCAACAGCACCAGCCTTCCCACTCGGTGCCAACAGCATGTGATCTTGGATAAAAACTGTTCCTCACTCGCTGACTGCCTTGAGTGCGGAGGTAAGGGCAGAAATCCACACTCCACAGTCTGCGTCAAGACGGAACCCGGGTTCTGCATGCCGAAGGCCCTTTGCAAAGCAAATGAGACTGATGAAAGGACCCTCCTTTAAAAAATTTTAAAAAATACATTTAAACATATCAGTGTAGTATAGTATCAAAATATTTTCTTTCACTTGAAGAATATGTAGCTGCATTGTTTTATACTTTCTGGGTGTCCTATGTTCATAAAAAGGTAAAGGGACCCCTGACCATTAGGTCCAGTTGTGGCCGACTCTGGGGTTGTGGCACTCATCTCGCTTTATTGACCAAGGGAGCTGGCGTACAGCTTCTGGCGAACCAGAGCAGCGCACGGAAACGCCATTTACCTTCCCGCCGGAGCGGTACCTATTTATCAACTTGCACTTTGACGTGCTTTCGAACTGCTAGGTTGGCAGGAGCAGGGACCGAGCAACGGGAGCTCACCCTGTCACGGGGATTTGAACCGCTGACCTGATCGGCAAGTCCTAGGCTCTGTGGTTTAACCCATAGCGCCACCCGCGTCACTGTCCTATGTTCATATTTCAAAGTAAAATCATAGAATCATAGGATCATCATTCTAGTCCAACCCCCCCTGCAATGCAGGAATGTTTTTGCCCAACTTAGACTCGATTAAGAGTCTAATGCTCTACCAACTGAGCTATTCCATCTTAAGTCATAAATCAAGCACTGCTGCAAGTTGTTTCCTTTTGTTTTCCAGTGTATTTTTTGTCAACAAAAAATTCTGTATGGCACGAGCAAATATATATTCTCAAAGTGTGGGCCGGGGTGGGTGGGTGGGTGGGGAGAGTTTGAGAGCCACTGACTTAGAATCCCCTGGCCCCGCCATTTCCTCTTTCTCCACATCCATCACTTTCCAAACTGCAGACACCCCATTTCTTATTTTTTTTTCTTTTAAGTGGATTTGTTGTGCTAGGGCAATGGAGTGCTTCAATCTACTTTCTTTCCTCAAACCAAAAGTTTGAGGCTGCGTTTGTGTCCCTCCTGCAAAATAGCGGCAGTCCAAAGGCCCCTTAGAGCAGGCCCCAGTGTTAGGTGCAATGAATTTGGGCCTGGTCTCCCTATAAGGAGTGGTCTGTGGGGCTGAAGTGCTCATTGATTGCTCATTCTCTGCTTCTGCTTCTGAACAGAGCCATGCCCTGTGCAAAAACTCACCCAAAGGGACCAGACCAACCATTCTGTAACGCTTCACTGGCAAATCTCCAACGACTGCTGCTACAAGGCGCACAGAGGCAGCGCTACGACAGTCCTTAAAGCCAGCATCAGTAACTGCACAGCCAACATCCCAAAACTGTCGCCTGGGCAGAACTACAACATGACAGTGTTCAGAAAACTGGATGGACGGTGCAGCAAGGAATCATCCATCACTGCCTTCACCTGTGAGTCTCGCCATTACCTTCTACTTGTGGGAAAATTGCAGTCAGACACAGCTAGTGCTAGTTAATGCATGAAGGGGTTAAAACCACAGAATTGTACTCCTAGACTCAGCCAGGTCACGCCCCCTCAGCTCTTAGAAGAAAGTTAAGTTTCCTCCTTTCTTCTGTCTTTTTCATCATGTGAGGTAGGAGGCACCTGAGCTTGCTCGCTACAAGCTCAGACCACATGCTTAGAGCCATTTCGCTATATTTTGTATCCTAAGATTTCTGCCTGTGTTTACTTTTGATGCTGCATGGATAAATGCATGAACATTTGGAACTTTGTAAGCAAAGCATTTTTAAACTTACTAAGGTGCAAGGTCTGTTCAGTGCTAAGAGGGGTAGAAATGGGAAGCTCTGGTAGCAGACTAAACAGGATGTTAAAAGGTTTAACAGCCTAAATCCCTACGCTACACTGCTGCTTGCTTTTGTAACTTTCTAAAACACTGCTGGGGGCTCTCTCTTGCTGGAGAATGTGTTTAGCTCTGCACTTTGGATCTAGGGATCCAGCCAATTCTTTTATTAATTACCCCACACAGCTGATCTATATCTATTTTCCCCCACTCTGCGAGCAGCAGCTGAAACCAGGTCTTTGGACAGCAGGGTGGGCAACCCCTGGCCCTCCATTCGTTGTTGGACTATAGATCCTATCATCCCTGCCTATTGGCCATGCTGGCTGGGGCTGATGGGTGCTGGAGTCTTGATGGGCTATGGGTTTCCCCTCCCTTCTCTGCAAGGCACTGTATGTTAGTCGAGGTGTGTGTGGCGATGTCTGGAGCACTGAGGAATAGAGAACAAGTTGTTATCTTGTGTTCTGATAGTGTAGCCTGCTTAAATTTTATCCTAACTACCGTATTTTGCGCCCCATAGGACGCACCGGCCCATAGGACGCACCTAGTTTTTTTTTGGGGGGGGGAATAAAGAAGAAGAAAAAAATTTTCCCCAGGTGTGGGGCTGGAAGAACAAGGTCGGGGAACAGCGGGAAGGCGCGCTCCGCCTCCCCGCTGTCCCCCGAGCTTGTGGGGCTGGCGATGGGGAGAAGTGCGCTGAGCCCGGGACGGGAGGCAGCTCTGCGCAGCCATCGGGAGCCGGATGGGACTTCGTGCCCTGCTCCCGATGGCCACGCAGAGCTGCGCTGAGCCCGGGACTGCAGGCAGCTCTGCGCAGCCATCGGGATCCTCAGGGCAACTTAGCAGCGATATAAAAGCAAGCTTTTAGATGTAATTAAACGGCAGTCAGTATTTCAGCACAGCAGCAGTAAACCAGCAGAGTTGGTTAATTGAAGGTAAGTACAGTGGTACCTCAGGATAAAAACGTAATTCGTTCCGGAGGTCTGTACTTAACCTGAAACTGTTCTTAACCTGAAGCACCACTTTAGCTAATGGGGCCTCCTGCTGCTACCACACCGCCGGAGCACAATTTCTGTTCTCATCCTGAAGCAAAGTTCTTAACCCGAGGTAATATTTCTGGGTTAGCAGTCTGCAACCTGAAGTGTCTGTAACCCGAGGTACTACTGTAGTTGAGCTCTTATCCCAAGCTTTACTTGCTACCTGAACTCCAGCAGCGGAAAGAACTGTGAGCCTCCTTCAGAACAAAGTCCAGAAACTAGGCAGGCACTGCTGCCAGGGTGCCTCTGTTGTATATAGCCAGTGTCGCATAACACAACAAACAGCAGAGGCTCTACTCAGGTAGCCATGGAATGATGCTACTGCCATTTCAGTAGCCAAGGGCAGATGATTCACAGGTGTGGAGGCAAGGAGTTGGGAAACTGGAAGGTAGGGTGTGTGTGTGTGTGTGTGTGTGTGTATTGTATCATGGAAATGATGTGGCATGTGGGAGCCCTGGACAGGAGCTCTCCACACTGTGTCATTTTCTTACAGGACCAGCTTATGCCTGTAGGTCTGCTCGTATCAAAGAGCCTAGAGGGTCCTTCTGTTTCTCCAATCCAGGCCCTTCACCTGTCCTGTACATCAATATACAGAATCGCACGGTGGATGCGCTGCAGATTGAATGGGCGGCGCCCAAGGACCCTCATGCCAGCCTCTATAGATACATGGTCTGCTTGCCAGAGTGCCACAACACCTTCGGAAGCTTGCTTTGGGTGAACAACCTGACAGCAGGCAAAACATACACCGTTGAGGTCTTCGCCGTTTCTGCCAACAACGTCTCCAGCATCGGGAGCACCAAACAGGCCACCACAGGTAGGCTGAGGCCAGGGGAGAAAGGGAAGCGGCAGCCAGGACCCTGAGAACTTTCCCCTGCCCCTAGTAGATTGAGTCACATAGAAAGCGCTCGCAAGCTCCCATATCAGCACCACAGACCTCAGTGAGCAGGCGGTGGCTTGCGGAAGAGGGAGGAGAAACCTGTAGCCCCTCAAGACTCCAACTCCCATCAGCCATGAGCACATTGTCCCATACCCTCCAACATTTCTCCAATGAAAATAGGGACATCCTATTCCATTATTATTATTATTATTATTATTATTATTATTATTATTATTGATACCGCACCCATCTGACTGGGTTGCCTCAGCCACTTTGGGTGGCTTCCAACTTATATAAAAGCATAATTAAACATTTATTTATTTTTTAACTTCCCTATACAGGAGTACCTTCAGGTGTCTTCTAAAGGTTGTATAGTTACTTATCTCCTTGGCTTGGAGGTTGCATAACTCCATTGCCCTCCAACACTTCTCCAATGAAAACAGGGACATCCTAAGGAAATGCAGGACATTCTGGGATCAAATCAGAAACTGGGACAGCTTCTGTTAATCTTGTGGGGATACTTGGAGGGTCTGTCATCAGGACCAGCTTCAGGCCTGAGAGGGATTTGTGGGCCCCCAACTCTCTAATTTCCCACAGCAACGCTATGTCAGAGTCACAGTGGGGAATTAAAATGGCCGCCGTTCAAATTTCCCACCGCAGCAATAGGATGTTGCGAGAACTCTAGACGGCAGCTCCTAGACTCAGTCATTCAGTGGTCAAAGCACCAGTCAAAGGGGCAGGGATCAGGATTCGGCCCAGCCGGGGTGCCAGAGCCCTGGCAGCTACCTGAGGGTGCCCCCATTTTGAGACGAGGTGTGAGTATCGTAGGCTTTGGCTTGGAGGGATGTGCTGCTCGGATTAAGGACGCTGGACTCCCAACATCCGCAAGGCCAGCAGGGGTTGCAGTGGTGTGTTAAGTGAGCCTGCTCTTTCCCTCAGCTCCAAATGCTCCCGAGAATATAAGCATATCGCAGTGCGAGACCAACAGCATCCCTGTTTCCTGGGATCGGCCCAAAGACCCCTATGCCACACACTATTCGTACAGGGTGAGCTGGGACGGCGGAAAAGGCGCAAACCTGTCGGGGAACAAATCGGTTGGAGTCAATTGCCTCAGCTACAACATCACACAACTCCAGCCAGGGATCCTGTACTCAGTGAAGCTGGCCTCCAAGATCGGCAGGGTTAAGAGCAAAGAAGCCAGCAAATGGGCTCTGACATGTGAGTACAACTGTCATGGTCCGGCGGGGGGGGGGGGGGAGGAATGGCAATGTGGCTTGGACTTTGGGCAGTGTGGTGTAGTGGTTGGAGGATTGGACTAGGGGTGGGGAGAACCACTCAGCCATGAAACTCACTGGGAGACATTGAGCTAGTTGTGGTCACTCCACCTAGCTTTACCTTTCAGGCAAGGGTGGATCAGCTCAGTTGCTTAGAGCCTGGTGGTGATAAGGCCAAGGTTCCAGGTTCGATCCCTGTGTGGGACAGCTGCATATTCCTGCATTGCAGGGGGTTGGACTAGATGACCCTCAGGGTCCCTTCCAACTCGACAATTCTGTGATCTCCTATGAAACTAGCAAAGCTTAAGCTTCAGAGCCCATAATCCTAGAGGCGCCCCAGAAGCGACTTTAGTTCACAGTGCTTAAAAAATTTTGGGGTCTAGAACACCCAGTTTGAGTTGCATGACTCTATTTGATTAATTTTTTTGTTGAATATATTTCAACAATCCCAAAGATTTGTGAGTCGGTAGCACAGATGTTGTGAAGGTGTGGCAATCTGTCGTGGAACAACCCCATTGAAGAGGATAAGAGTGGTTACCTAGACCAGTGTTTCCCAACCGGTGTTCCGCGGCACACTAGTGTGCCGCGAGACGTTGCCTGGTGTGCCGCGAGATGTTGCCTGGAGGGAGGCGGGCGAGTCGGGCGGCGAGAGGTGGGGCGGCGGCGGCGAGGAGAGGCCGCCCAGCGCGGGGCTCTCGCCGTCTGCCTGCCTGGCTGCCTGCGTGGCGCTGACGTCACGGGGCTGTAACGTGCCCCACAGAGGCACACGCGGGGTGGCGAGCGAGCTCCCTCCCACATCCCATCGCCGCTCACTTCGGCCGGCCTACTGGGCTGTCTCAGGCGGAAGGCCTGCGCATGCGCGAGGTTTTCGCGCCTTCGGGATTCCCTTCACGCCTTCCTCCTCCCGGGTCCTTGAGAGCGCGGGAAGCGGCAGCGCGAGACCGGCGTTGAGCCTGGTAGGTATTGCGCTTGCCAAGGCAGTCATTTGGGAAATGAAAACTTGCAAAGCAAGCAACCAGTTCAATCTGAAGTACGTGTATGCTTAATATCCTGTATCTGAAACCTGTTCTGCCCCCTCCCCCACATTTGGTGCCATTTTCATCTACACATGCAGCAGAGTAAGTTGACCCAGAATAGTACCAATTCAGATGGCAGATGGGAGAATGACAGTGCTGAATGCTTTCCCATGTAGAACAGTCCCTGCAAATAAAAACCTAGCATATTTGGAAGAGGGATGCTAGCCTAACCATTACTTTCTATGCTGTTACTATTTTTTTATTTTTTTTTACATAAGTAAAAAGTGACCTTTCCCCATCTGGCATGGTGGTGTGCCTCGAGATTTTTTTCATGAAACAAGTGTGCCTTTGCCCAAAAAAGGTTGGGAAACACTGACCTAGACGTTGTTGCGAAGGGGCCCCCATGGCAGTTCAGTCCACCATGGCTTACAAGGTTGTTGTCAGTGCCTTTTTTCTTCACATTTTAAAGAAATTCTACACTTAGCGTAGAAGCAGCTGGAGAAAAGAAGTCCCAGGTCCACAGAGAGGAGAGTGGCATTTTATAAGCACACATTAAGGGAGAAGCTGCGTCTAGTCTTTGAAAGACACCTCTGTAAATGGGGGGGGGGGCTGCTGTTGGGCAATGTCTTTATAAGGACCAACCCAAATGTCAGAAAACAGTGTAAGCTTCTGAGTTCAACAGAACTCTTCATCAGGCTGGGTGATGCAGGGGCGGCATTGCCTAACTGTGGGTGGGGGGCAGTTCTCCCCTCTTGTAGACTAACACGACAACCTCTGCTTTCTTTGTGACTTGGCTATCCTGACAAATCTTGCCTCCTCCTTTCAGGCCCCTTGCCCCCTACAGATTTCAGGGTCCGCAATAGCAGCCAGACAGAAATTGAATTATCCTGGAGGAAGCCGAGCTCAGCTTTCAGCAGCTTCCTGCTCCGGTGGAAGAACCTGAACGAGTCCAACGACAAAGAAATGCGCCTTGGCACTTCCACGGAGATGACTTTGAGAGGTCTCACTCCAAGCTCCAACTACACCTTCACTTTGCTGAGCGTAGCAGAAGGAGAAAACAAGACCGCGTACAGCGTTGGCGTTCTGCAAGAAGGGGCTACAAGTACTTACAGTTTTCTTCGGGGGGGGGGGAGAGAATGAGGTGGTCCCATCCTCTCTCAAAAGGGGGGCTTGGCATGCAAGGAAGCATCGACTTTCATGGCAGGAGTTCCACAGGCAGCGAGGCTCAACGGGGAGCTACACACACAAACACACACACAAACACATACACACACACAAGCACAGAAACACACACACACTGTGAAGTGATTCAGTGGCCTATGCTACAAATTAGTAGAGGGAAGGTCTAACCCAGCCACACATAGATGTTGAGCCTCACCTCCCCCCCCCACCCCCGGTCGCTTGTTGCTGAATCAGGCTATTGGCCCATCTTACCCAATAATGGTGGCTGGTGCTCACTAGTGGGCAGAAGGCAGGGAGCCCAACACCAGGGGGCGCCAGAGAGGAGGTGGAGGGTTTGCCAAGGGGGACCAAACTAGGATTCATTGCCTCTACCTCTCTCTGGCTCTCTGGCTTCTGCCTCTGCTTCTGCACCTGCCACTATTCCTCTGCATCCAACCAGTCCGCGACATACAGTTCCCAGAGCAGTTTAGCAATCACTACCTCCATCCAGTTGTGTGAATGTCACCTGATGTCAGGCTTTGGGGAATAGGATCCCCAAGATCAAAAGAAAGAGCGCCTTACCAATTAGTTTCTTTAATAATCACAGCGAGAGACAAAGGAATGCATATCTCTCTAAAAATATGGCCACGCTCCCAGTAAGGAGTCACTCCTTCCGTCCCCGTTAATTGACATCACTCCTACGTCGGGTAATCTGAGCTTGTTGCCGCTGAGCTCTCTGTTCTATCACTCTCAAATCCCATCTAGTCTTAGGCGAAGGGGGGGGCAGGAATGCTTTCTAAGGACACTGAATCGGCCAGCTCTCTCTCTCTCTCCTGGTGTTTCCTCTTCTAGTTGTGCCTCACCCAGCGTTTCCCAGCTTTCTCCCTCTGGACCATGCCCCTCTGCCAACCACTGTTCTAAATCTATGCTGTCCTCCTGCCCATGGGAAGGTTCAGGAGAAGGGCATCCAGTCCCTGACACCTGAAGTAGAGGAAGCTAACAGGCACTGCCATCCCCTAGACTGGTTGTAAGCAGGTGATGCATTCCTTGGCGTCTGGATCTGCTGCCTCTGCAGATCCTGCTGTCCAGGGTCAGCATAACAACATCAACAACAATTATCACCCTATATTTAAATGGGTACCTACTGAGAAGATCCATAAAAAAGCAACTGTACCAAAAAGAATTACTGTGAAAACAAGAGATATTCCTTATTTTCACCAGCCCAGGGCACCATATTATCAAAGTCTGCCCCTGCCAAGGTGGTTGCCTCATTTTGTCTCATGGGTGGCCTGCCCTGTCTTTGGCAGATGTGCCCGGGGAAACCTAGCCAGATGGGCAGTTTATAAAGAATAAAATTGGGAACTTCATCCATTTCACTGAGAGGTCGTATTGAAAAAAGGATGGGATTCACATGTTTGTGGGCATGCAATATATATATATACCCACAGTACTCTCTGCTTCCCACCTGCACAGAGCCAGACCACGTGAATAATTTGAAGTGTGATTCCTCCATGTGGGGCGACCGTCTGGTATTGTCCTGGACGTGCCCAGCCAGCGAGGTCAGTAAATTGCAGGTCTGTCTGTCAGACCAGCTTGTCCAGGAATGGACCATCTGCAAAGAGGAGACGGAGATTGACAACCTGCAACCCGCCTGGAGCTACTTGGTCCAAGTGCAGACGTTCTGGTATGAGCAGGAGGCAGCGTCCGCCCAGAAGATGTGCACCACCAGCAACGCAGGTGAGACACATCTGAGCAAGCCTTTCAGTGGCCGGGCTGGGGGCGAAGCGTGCTGTTTAAAGACGCTTCTCTTTCTGAATGACAGCACCCTTGGCGAACGAGTAACCAAACAATTAAACCTCTGTGTTGCAAACAATTATCAGTAATATCCAAGGCAACACGACGACCAAGTACAACAATGCAATATCAATATACACACTTCATAAAATCTATACAGAACATTGAACAATATGAAATATATGAAACTCTCTGCAAAACCAAATAAACAGAAATCTTATAAATCTCTGAAAGTCACAAAATGTGCACTCTTGGTGGATTCTCTTGAAAACATAGAACCATTGCATTGTTGTACTTGGTCATCGTGTTGCCTTGGATATTACTGACCCTTGGCGAACAGGCACAGAGCACCCTGGGGTGAGGGGTGTAGGCTGTTCTGTGCAAAATGCATGAAAAGACTTGGGAGGGCTCAAAGCCATCTTAACACCAGGGACCAGCGGCTTGTCTAGTCTGGCATTGTCAGGGTTCCGGATGCTGTGGACTCCAGTTTCCATCAGCCCCAGCAGTCACTACCAGCCACAGAAGCGATGATGCTCTGTCTCTGTGGCCAGAGGCAGCAATGCTCCTGAAAGCCCCACAGGAGGGGAGGCTGTTCTTGTGCTCAGATTCTGCCTGCAGGTTCCCACAGCCACCTGGCTGGCCCCTGTGAGAATGGGGCACTGGACCAGATGGGCCAGCAACATCAGTCCTACCAGCAGAGCCTTTTCCGGGTCTCAGCCAGAGGTCTGTCCCATTGCCTGCGACTTGATCCTTTTAAAATAATACAGTGGTACCTTGGGTTAAGAACTTAATTCGTTCTGGAGGTCTGTTCTTAACCTGAAACTGTTCTTAACCTGAAGCACCACTTTAGCAAATGGGGCCTCCCGCTGCCGCCACACAATTTCTGTTCTCATCCTGATGCAAAGTTCTTAATCCGAGGTACTATTTCTGGGTTAGCCGAGTCTGTAACCTGAAGTGTCTGTAACCTGAAGTGTCTGTAACCCGAGGTACCACTGTATTGGAGTTACCAGGGATTGAACCTGGAGAGTTCTGCATGCCAAGCAGGCACTCAGCACACCACTAAGCTGTGCTCCCTTCCTTTCCTGTGCACCTTCCTTCATTTATACTCTGCTTAAAGGTAAAGGGACCCCTGACCATTAGGTCCAGTTGTGACCGACTCTGGGGTTGCGGTGCTCATCTCACTTTATTGGCCGAAGGAGCTGGCGTACAGCTTCCGGGTCATGTGGCCAGCATGACTAAGCCGCTTCTGGCGAACCAGAGCAGTGCACGGAAACGCTGTTTACCTTCCCGCTGGAGCGGTACCTATTTATCTACTTGCACTTTGACGTGCTTTCAAACTGCTAGGTTGGCAGGAGCTGAGACCGAGCAACAGGAGCTTACCCCGTCGCGGGGATTCGAACCGCTGACCTTCTGATCGGCAAGTCCTAGGCTCTGTGGTTTAACCCACAGCGCCACCCGCAACACTATACTCTGCTTAGAAGAATAGATTTTAAGAGTGAGAAGGCACCACAGGGTAACTGATTCCTGCACTGGTCACTTCCAACTTCCAATGCAGGGAGGACCACGATTTTCCCATCCCCAGCTTAGACACGCACACAGACTTTGTAGCAGCATTTTCTTTCTTTGTCTTTAGGGGTCATCCTTGAAACTCTGCTCCCTGTGCTGCTTTTCTCAGTCCTCCTCAGCCTGCTGCTGTTCTATTTCTGGAGGAAAAGGTGAGCAAGCTCAGTATCGCAGGCTTCCTCTGCACAGCATTATTGACCCCAGCGGGGGAGGGGGGGAGCATCAGGGCCGCAGTAACCTGAATCCAGAGGCACAAAGGAAAAGAAAACAAGCTGCGTTTATCGGCTTGTATTTCCCCCTGACGCATTTCCTCTGCAGGGGTGGGGGGGCCAAAGGGACAGGCAGTGCACTGAGGTCTTCTCTCCAGCTACAGAAAATCATAAGAGTGCAAGAACAGCCCTCCTGGATCCAGCCAGTGGTCCATCAGTCCAGCATCCTGTTCCCACTGTAATGAACAAAACCTGCCCTTATTCCCTTATGGGGGACACAAGAGCCCTTAGAGAGTCCTTTGTAGGTTCTCCATCGGTAGGAGAAAATAACAGAGGCCAACCAGAGAATATTGAGAAGCAAAGCAGCTCGTACGCCTGATCTTTATTGAACTGTTGCAACAGGGTGCTCCCCTCACACGCAGGAGGCCGGAGGACGACCCAGAACCAAGGTGTGCCTGCCCTTATATAGACATTTTAAATTCCCTGCCCTGGAGCTCAAGACCACCCCCCACAAACATCATACCTACATCACAGAAAAGGTGGTCTACAACAGAAATTTGAACGTTGCTGTTTTTCCTGTCTGCCAGGTTATCTGATAATGCCTTATCTGATTGCCTTTCCCGGTAGTCTGGCCATTCCTTTGAGATGGTGATTTCCCAATTCCTGAGACAATGGGAAGGTTCCCCCACCCCCCTCCCTCCTTGCAGAGAAAACATTTGGTCAGTTTGGGAGTCAAAATGGTTTCAGGGCAGTCTTCCTGTGCTGCTCCAGACATGTGGTCCACATATCTATTTATGTGCTTGGTTGGTACATTCATGAACATTTATTATATACCGTATTTTTCGCTCTATAGGACGCACTTTTTCCCCTCCAAAAATTAAGCGAAAAATACAGTATATAAGACCTTAAATTTTTTATTTCACCACAGTGGCCAATCAAATGCCTATTGGAAACCAATAAGTAGGACCCGAACGTAAGAGCCCTCTCCCCTCCTGGTATTCAGAAGTCTCCAACCGTGGAGGCAAAGCGTAGCCGTCATTTATATAGGAACCATGTTAGCCCCGTCCTCCAAGAGTTAATCCAATCCTTCTTTAAAGTTAACCATTTTGGTGGTCATCACTGCCTCCTGTGGCAGAGAGTTCCATAGTTTGACAGTGCCCTGCATGAAGAAGTACTTTTCTTTTATATGTCCTGAATCTTCCAACATTTAGCTTCCTTGGATGGTCACGAGTTCTAGTGTCATGAGAGAAGAGACAAATTTCTCTCTGTGTGGATTTCTCACAGGCCCTTGGGTGACGCAGTAATTTCCAAATCACCACAGCTCTGCTTATGGACAAAGGGCCTTTCGTCTAGCACCGTGGCTCCCCCAGTGGGAGGTTCGGGTACTGCAGGCTTCAGTTCTATAGTGCCCTGTCAGGCGTTCTGATTAGAGATTATTATTTTTGGAAGGGGGGAGACCACTAGGGTCGCCATATTTTGAAGAACAAAAACGTGGATGCTATGACGACTCTCATTTTAAATACTAAATGTAGGCTATAGAAGCTGTGATATATTGCTGAGAGGGACGGGCCAGATTTTGGTTTGATGAGGCCCTAAGCTACTGAAGGTAATGGGGCCCTTTATATGTCCAACTGTCCTTTGTCAACAACAATGTGTCGCTGTTTTGTGTGTTGAATATACACTATATGGTAATTTATGGACCTAATAGGTATCTAAAGCCTTTTGCACATAACAAAATATGTACATCACAGGAGCCTACACAAAACAAAACAAAACAAAACAAAACACTGTTGCTGTATGTAGGTTTTATTTTATTTGTTTTTTATCTTATATTTTCGAAATCTACATCCAGGTTTTTTTCCTTTACATTTTTTGGGGGCCCCCAAGAGAGTGGGGCCCTAAGCTACAGCTTGTTTAGCTTATACAGTACATAAATCTGGCACCGGGGGGGGGGGGGCGGAGAAGAGAAGAGGTAAGCAAATCTTCAGCCACCAGTCTATGTCTCATCCAGAAAGACATTTTGGCAAACTTTACAAAAATCCACCCGGACCGAAATTTTACCTCTGAAAAAGAGGACGTGTCCTGGGAAAAGAGGACAGATGGCAACCCTGCCACTGACAGACGTTGCTTAGTTTTCTGTCTCCTTTGCAGGACGAAGAATGTCTTGGAGAAACAGAAAGCAGATATGGGACTGCCTGGGTGAGGATGAAGGGGTATGGGGTGCATGGATGTAGCCAGGATTTATTTTTGGGGGGGGCAGGCTTTATTGGGGGGCAGAACCGAGTTATCTGCAACACAATTGCTCAGTTATTTACGTATTGCCTGCTTAAACTTTGAGATTTAAAGAGAGAACCGTTCCATCTTTTCCTCCCCTGTAGAGCCCTGGACTCTGTGCCTGTGTTGGCTTTCCCAGCTTACTGCCACGAGCGCTTCTCCAACAGCGGCTTTGGTTTTGCAGAGGAATACCAGGTACAAGGTTGCCGTGGCGTCTGTAGCTCGGTGGGCAGAGCACCCGCTTTGCACGCACAAGGTCCTGGGTTCGATCCCCGGCGTCACCAGGCAGGGCTGGGAAAGAAAGGCTCTTGTCCCAAGCCCTGAAGAGCTGCTGCCAGCCAGTGTAGACATTATTGAGCTAGGTGGACCAGTGGTCTGATTGAGTATAAGCCATTTACATTCCTATGATACGCTTATTTAAAATTAAATCGCAGCGAAAATACTCTGCCATCCTTGTTTTAGATTGAAAAGGGTATTCCAGAAATTAAGAATAAAGCCCATTTTAAAGTACCCTACCAACGTAGCATTAAGCGTCTTCCAGACAGTGCTTTTTTTGTATTTCTATTATTTTTATTGAATCTATTTGTTGATTTGCTTCAAGAAGATCTTTAAAAACTGAATATAAATCCCAGCTTTCATAACAAACATTACTCTTGTGTGTCCTTTCCCTCTTGTTTCTTTTACTAATTAAATGAGAGCTGTTGCCAGATATAAGAGATCCCGGACCCTATTCAGCCACTCTTTTAAATATTTCAGCCGTCGTTCTGTTTTAAATACTTTACATATCCACTATTTAAATACTTTAAATATCCACTATTTTAAATGCTTCAGCTGCATTCTTTTTTTGTCAGAATTTTTATATACTGCTTATATACATTTTGAGAAACAGAGAAGAACCTTTGGGTTCGTGCTTTGCTGAAGGAGTCGCCTTGTTTCGTAGCTCTCTGCGCCTCTTCTTTCACCATTTCTCTTTTCCTTGCCCCCACAACAGCAGCTGCAGGACGTGGGGACAGGACAGCCCCAGAGCGTGGCAGAGCGGCCTGAAAATCAAGTCAAGAATCGCTACAGCAACGTTCTGCCATGTCAGTTTTGTTCCCCCTGCCCTGTTTTTTCCTTTGTCGGTTGCGCTTAGCAAAAGGAGTCTGCTTTAATTTTGAACATCTCACTACGGAGCGGTGGTTTCAGATATAACCTCAAAAGACCAGAGATTCAAGCAGGAGGAGGAGGGAGGGGTCTGTCATTGGTGCTTGAGAGTCACCTGACCCTTGACCCAGAATTCTTGGGTAAGGCAGGCTTTGGCTCAGATCAATGAACTTCTTCGGAAAACTTCTAGCCTCATTCCCCACTACTAAAGATATTTTTTTCTGGCAATGGGAGGAATGTGCATTGACCCTTGAGGGCTGGATTATAATTAATTGTATTGTTATTTTATGTAAACTGTGTTACTTTTATTGTTGTTAGCCGCTCCGGCTTTGGCTGGGGAGTGTGGGATGTAAATAAAATATTATTATTATTATTATTATTATTATTATTATTCCTGCGTCTGCCACTTTCTGACCCCCATTTGATATAAAAATTATTTGGCATACATAAGTTTCCCCCCTTTTTTTCTTCACAACAACCCTGTGAGGTAGGCTAGGCCCAGAGAAAGGGAGCTTTTTGACTGAGTGGGGATTTGAACCCTAGTCTGACGCTCTGACCACCACACCGCACTGCCTCTGCTGCTCAACTTTATTCCTGCCACTTTTCAGTTATGTAAATCCATATTTGGTGCTGCTTTACTTTCAGTTTTATCTATTTTTCAACTCACCCTCTCTGCTTTTACTTTTAACCCCTTTGGTTCCTTCTCTGCAGATGACCACTCGCGAGTTCAGCTCACCATCAAATCTGGAGACCCCAACTCAGATTACATCAATGCAAGCTACATGCCTGTGAGTCCCACCCCGGCTGCATTTTTGTGTGAGATGTGGTTTGGGACCCTTTGTGATTCACCCTTGACAAAAACTGTATAACTTAAGTTAAGCTTGGCATAGATTTGGGATTCAACTTTAGCACGGTATATTCTCAGCCCCCAATATATAATGCCAACTAGTCTCCAGTTTTCTCCCAGGGTTCATTAACCTCCCATTAATGAGCAACAATCTCATGGTTAGAGAGAGTCTGCTTTGACTTTGCACATCTCACTACAGAGTAACTTTGAGTACACTTATTCTCACTTTTTGTAGCTTGCTTTTAGACAAGCAATGGAAACTTTTTTATTTCAGCTAGCTTTTATGGGTTGCCATCCTTGTTTTGGCTCTTAGTGCTTTCTCTGTCATTTTAAGAGCTGGTTTCATTTTTTAATGACATGTTATTGCTGTTATACTAGGGGCTGCACACTTGCTTTCTTTGCCAGCCAGTCCCATCTATCCCCACCCAACCACCCTTTGCCAAAGCCACCCAGCACCCACCATTCACCAAAAACAGCACCCCCTCCTCCCCTAAAGCTCACCAAACCTCTGTGTCCTGCCTGAGCTGCCCTCTCACTTGTCAAGGCTGTCTACCTGCCTGTCTCTGGTTCTGGTTCTGGTTCTCTCCTCTTCACCATCTGACATTGCTGTAAGGCCCAACAGCTCTGGGAACCCAGTTTCTCTTGTCTGTGGCAAAGCAAAGTGCAGCGTGACGACATTCTTGAATTGTTATTATATGTACAGATACTGCTTTACTTTTTGCTTAGCAGCCACCTTGAATAAATATACGGAAAGGCAAGGCATACAAATGACAAAAATCTGGGCAACACTTCTATTAGAACAGCTGAGGGCAGACTGAGCAGGAGCTGGAAGGGGTGGTATCCCCGCGTATGTGATAACTGGTGACTATTAATAGTATGTGAATGTGTGTGTGTGAACCACAGCTACCGTTGAAATGTGGCCTCCTTCAGCTTTCCACCACATAAAGTGGCTCTCAGTCTAAACAAGTTTTGCCACTCTTCGTTGTGACTTCATTGGATTTCCCATTGATTCCGTACTAAGGCAAATCTCTCTCTCTCTCTCTCCTTCCTCACTACTCGCTCCAGGGCTTTGAGAGGGAAAAGGAGTTCATAGCAGCCCAAGGCCCACTGCCTGGAACACTGTACGACTTCTGGCGCATGATATGGGAGCAGCAGATCGTGACCGTGGTCATGCTCACTAACTGCGCCGAGAACGGACGGGTGAGAATTGTGCCGTTTGGCTGGGAGTCAGGAAACCCCTTGAATGATGTTCTGCCTCTTGGGGGGTGCCCATTGGGGGATGTGGGTGGCGCTGTGGTGTAAAGCACTGAGCCTCTTGGGCTTGCCGATCAGAAGGTTGGTGGTTCGAATCCCCACAATGGGGTGAGCTCCCATGGCTCTGTCCCAGCTCCTGCCAACCTAGCAGTTTGAAAGCACACCAGTGCAAGTAGAGAAATAGGTACTGCTGCAGCAGGAAGGTAGACAGCGTTTCCGTGCACTCTGGTTTCTGTCACGGTGTCCCGTTGCGCCAGAAGCGGTTTAGTCATGCTGGCCACATGATCCAGAAAACTGTCTGTGGACAAACACCAGCTCTATTGGCCTGAAAGCGAGATGAGTGCCGCACCCCATAGTCACCTTTGACTGGACTTAACCGTCCAGGGGTCCTTTACCTTTTACCTTTACTTGCCCATTCAAAAGGGGCAAGCCATCTAGGGCTGAACAAAATATTATCTACTTTGGGGGGGGGGTTTCAAAACTAGTTTTTTCAGTGGGATAGAAATCCCCCCTCCACAATACCTGTGAGATTGATGGCTTCTTCTTCCTTAATCCTCTTCAGTGCCATCGTTTCCCCTCTTTCTTTTCTCCTTTATGAATTTGTTGCTTGAGTGATCCCACCCCTTCAGGATGAGGCCATGATGCTAAGCAGCCAATTCGATGGTAGGTTGTCTTTTGAGGGCAACTTACAGAAATAAGCAAATCTTTCTTTTCTCCTCCCTAGAAGTGATGGATATTTTTCAATGTTTGTAAAATGCAGCAGATAGTATCAGGCAGGGAGCAGAAGTGTGGAGCTCATTCCAAAGAACTTGCGACTCCCCAGCTGCTGTGAGGAGGGTGTAGATGTAGACCTGGTCTTCAGGACCCTTGATCTGCAACAGCCCAACCAAAACCTGACCAAAGTTTGACAGTTGCTCCGCTCTTCCACAAGGCCAGTCCTTCCACTAACGTTCTTGGCTCTCCCCTTGCCTCTTCCCCAACCTTCTTCTGGTCAGGTGAAATGTGAACGCTACTGGCCTCTGGACTACACACCCTGCACCTACGACAACATCACAGTGTCCGTCGTCACAGAGACAATCCTCCCTGATTGGACCATCCGGGATTTCACTATCAAGCAGGTGACAGAGCGGGGATCAGGACTTCCTCCCCCGGCGTTCCATCCAAATGGTTTCTGCCAGAATAACTGCCCTGTGAAGCGATATTTATCCAACTGCTTTATCATTGCAACTGAGGCTGTTGCCAATTCCGCAGTCTCTTTTCTCCAGCTTTTGACACCTGAGTGGTAGATTTTTGAGACCCACTCTGTTCTTGTTTTCTTAGTTTTCTGATCTTTAGTGTTGTATTTTAAATTGCTGGGGCACATCCTGGGACCTTAGGGTGACGATTGGGAAGTGAATCAAATTGTTATTGTTTAATAACAACGGTGATGATGATAAATAATAATGGTGACGATAATCGTGATGATGATAATGGTACTGGTTGTCATAATTTTAATTAAAGATATCCCTTTAGAAATGATAATAATGAAATAATCCTTCTAATTGTGAACTCAACAAAATAAAAGGGAGTCACTGAGAGACAAGAGGGAAGTAATCAGTGGCGGAGCTCCAAGCTCCGATGGGGGGGGGGGGCAGAGAGTAGGCAGGGGCGAGGCTGGCGTGTGTCCTGGGGGGCATGGCGCGTGTCCTGTGGGCATAGCACACTGCTTGCAGGGGTGTGGTGCGTGTCCCGGGGGCGTGGTGCAACACCCACAGGGGCGTAGGGCGCCGCCTGCGGGGGCATGGCACCCAGGGCTGGAGGGGGCAGCCACAATAGCACCCCACTGGGATTGTGCCGCCGTGTGCTCCCCCCGCACTCCTGTTCCTCCGCCAGTGGAAGTAATCCCAAGGCATGCATAAGCCAAAAATACCCTTTAAAACACTGGGGGATGGGCAGCCTTATAAAACCCAAACAATTTCTAGTTGAAAAACAGTAATAGTAATAGTAATAATAATAATGATGATGATGATAATAATAATAATAATATACCAACCTACATCCAAAGATCTCAGGGTGGTTTACAAGATAAAAATACAGAAAAAAGCCGGAAATTGAGGGCAAGTGGGAGAAGAAGGGGCGTTTGAGCACCTTGCAAGGAACCCATGACCGACTTGCTGGAACCCTGAGTGAGAGCACTACTATTAGGAAGTGTCACGAGCCACTGGGATGTGTGGACAACTGTTACCTTGTGTGGTGCAGGTGGCAGGTTCTGTACCCTCAGGGACCCCAGGCTGACTCTGCCCACCTAGATGGGTTATATGGTGTTTCTGGGCAGGATATGAGAGAGGCTTCCTGATCTTGAGCCACAAGATCTTCCTGAATTCTGTTGTGCAGTCCTGTATATTGGGTTGTTTTTGGCCCTGATCCCAGCTTGATCCTAGATCCTGCTTCCTGAAGTTCATCCTCCGGTTGTAGTTTACTCTTCTATCTCAACTGCTGGCTCGTCCCACAGAACCTGATTCCCACCTCCTGGCCCAGCCCTGACAGCGGGCGAGGAAGGTACGCTGCAACATTTTGTTGCAGGTCCCACTTTGTTATCTCAGACACTATGCTCAAGTGGTTGGGTTTGGGAGCGGAACAGAGCCACTTCAAAATAAACTGCAAACGCCCTAGGTATACAGAATCATAGAAGTTTGGAAATAAAAACAAATGAAAACTCTCCCCACCACCACCACATGGTGTGACAAGGACCCGAGAGCTTCCACGGCTTTCAGGATGTTGAGGTGCCAATTGGAAAGAAATGGAGGTGAAACCCAGGGGTGGTTCTGAAGAAAGTGCTTGAATTGTGTGTGTGTCCCAACAGGTGAACCTATCCGAGGTCCACCTGGCCAGGCATTACCACTACACATCGTGGCCGGACCATGGGGTGCCCAAAATCACAAGCACCATCCTTCACTTCCGAGACCTCGTGAGGGCCCACATAGAGGAGCACAGAGGCGCTGGGCCAGCTCTGGTACACTGCAGGTAAACCCAAGAGGAGGGGAAGAGAGGATCGGGGCAGGGGAGAGCCAGGGAGAAGTGTAAGCCACAGGTTCTGTGGACTGAGGCTGCGGAGGGACCACAAACGGCAGAGCCACTTCAACCCAGAGTGGCTTAACTATCCATAACACCTCTTCCCATGGAATTCTGGGAATTGTGGCTCTGGGAGGGGAATAGGGAGTCTCCTAGCAACTCCCAGCACCCTTAACGAACTACAGCTCCCAGAATTCTTTGGGGGCAGCCATGACTCTTTGAAGTGGCACCATAGCGCTATAAATGTGTCGTATGAATGTGGCCTTGGTCTTGGTTGACGCTGTCCTCTCCTTCCCTCTCCCACCTCTCCAGCGCAGGTGTTGGCCGGACGGGGACGTTCATCTCCCTGGACTCCCTGCTGCGCCAAGCCCAGGTCACGGGGGAGCTTGGAGTCTTCTCCTTTGTTCGGAAGCTGAGGATGAATCGTCCGCTCATGATTCAGACTGAGGTGAGAGGCTCGGAATATGTTGTTACGTGAAGCAGATCTGTCCTGAACAAGCAGTTCAAAAGCACACCAGTGCAAGTAAATAGATAGGTACCACTGTGGTGGGAAGGTAAACAGCATTTCCATGCGCTCTGGTTTCCATCACGGTTTCCCGTTGTGCCAGAAGTGGTTTAGTCATGTTGGCCGCATGACCCGGAAAGCTGTCTGTGGACAATGCCAGCTCCCTTGGCCTGAAAAGCGAGATGAGCGCCGCAACCCCATAGTCACCTTTGACTGGACGTAACCTTTTACCTTTAGTTACTAAACAGCTTTCCTCTGGCTCTCTTTGGAGACTTCAGTTCTCTGATAACGGACTTAAGAGGAGGCAGGCAAACATCTAGGCCATCCATCACATCTGAAAGAAGGAGCACAACCTATTGATTGGGGGCCTCTGGTTGACCCCTGTGAGGGCAGGATGTTGGACTAGATGGACCACGGGCCTCATCCAGCAGGGCTCTTTTTGACATAAGAAGTGCTTAAAGCTGCCCTGACAGCGCTGAATCTTCCTGAGCTATATATGTGACAAAGCAAGTTGAAATTCTGTCCTTCTGGCAGTGCTCTAATCCCACAGACCCTTAACACCTCTTTTCTCCGTAGTCCCAGTTCGTCTTTCTTCACCAATGTCTCCTGGATGCCCTCCAGCCTCCTCCTCAGAGCGACAGTGAGAAGACAGAGCACACGGCAGTGTATGAAAACACCTGGGCCCTGCAAGGCTACGAGGTCTCCCGGGTGTGACAGCCTGTCTTCTTTGGCCATCGTCCCGGCAAGTGCCCAGGAGGTCCATGTGCCCAAGGGGAAACCACAGCAGACTTTGGGATGGGCTTCCCTAGGGAGGGAGAGGCTGGTTCCTAGAGGAGATGCAGACTCACTTGCGATCCCTTCCCCAGCCCAGTTTTGACATGATTGTGCCAGCCAGCTGAGGAAGTGATGAGGGGTGTGTGTGTGTGTGTGTGTGTGTGTGTGTGTGTGTGTGTTTGTGTCTCCCCACCCCCTTCTCTCTTTGTGGGTTGGAAGTTAAATTGCACGCGTTGTATCTGTCGGGAACATACGAAATGGAAATGTGGAGCTTAGGATTGAGAAGCTGAGAGGAGCCTAAATGGACAGATTTGCTCTTGCAGTGAGCGACCTGTCCTTTGGCTTTATGGGTGAAAGGCAGGTACGGAATTTTACAAATAAAATGAAATAACCGATCAGCACGCATATATCTGAGGATACAACTGTGCTAGCTCTTCTGCAGCAGCTCTGGAGGCAAATGGTAGCTTCAAGTGTGTGGGGGGTGATTTTTGGTGGGGGAACATAATGGGGGACTGGGACAAGCCCCCCTTTTCCCCACTGCACCGCTCTAACAGCCCATCTCAGGCTTCCCAAGGTAAGGAGAAGTAGAGGAGGATTCAAAGGTGTGCTTAATGTCACCTCTGGATTGACCAGGGGTTAAAGTGGGTGGGGGAGAGGGAAAGAAGATGCATCTAGCAAATGAAATTAGCAGGATCTATCATGAAGAAACTTATAATGAGCTTAATCAAAAGCAGGGAAGCCTCCAGCAGCGTAGAGAGCAAACAATGGGCGATGATTGGCAACCACTTGTCTTATCTATAGGAAGGCAAACCCACTTAGCTCAGTTGGTTAGAGCATGGCGCTGATAATGCCAAGGTTGCAGGTTCAATCCCTGTAAGGGCCAGCTGCATATTCCTGCGTTGTGGGGTGGGGGTGTGGACTAGATGATCCCTAGGGTCCCTTCAAATTCTATTATTCACCCCAAGAAGAAACAAATTCAACTTTGTCTATAAGTCCACAGCACTGGACTTGAGAGCCAGTGTGGTGGAGGGGTTAGTGTGCCGGACTATGACCTGGGAAACCAGGCTTCAAATCTCCACTCACTGGGTGGCCTTGGGCTGTCCACTGCCTCTCAGCCTAACCTGCCTCACATGGGTGTTGTGAGGATGAAATGGGGAGGAAGGAAACCATGTACGCCACCTTAAATAAAAGATAAAATTGACTAAACCACAAGCAGATTAAGTGGCCCGCATGTTTGTTGCATATTGACGGTATGGGGATGAAATCCACTGTAGTGTTTACAGGAAGAATCTTTGGTTCAGGAGCCTTTGGTTCAGCCATGAAGCTCACTGGGCCTGCGCCATCTCACGCCCACTGTTTTGTCCAAGCTGAACCTACCTACCTCCCAGGGTTGTTGTGAAGATATATTGAGTAGGGGGGTGGGAACGCCACTCACAAAGTAATGAAACAAAAGCAGAAAAGTAATGAACAAAAGCAGAAGGAATCGGAGAGGATGAAATTCTTTCCTTGTTTTCAAAAGATTTCTTGTATCATCCCAGAGATGCGACTCTCATTTGCCGAAGGAGTGCAGATTCACACAAGCCCTGTGCAGAAATCCCCACAACAACCAGAGCCAAGATGAGGATGGCAACAGCTCGCCCACATGATTTTCAAGGACAGGTCATACAAAGGGTGTTGGTGCAAATTCAGTATGAAAATCCTCAGTAGATAAAACCTCATGGCTTCTGGTATTCCAGATGCCTCGTCTTCTCAAGCTCATGCCTTGAAGCCCTGTCAGTTTCCCTCCCATCACAAATGTCAACAGCCTCTCTCTTCTTGGACTTACAAGTCATTGTTTATACAAATTAGGGCTGTTGCCAAACCGAAGAAATTTTACAAATGGACACCCCACTGATTGTAGACTTTGCTGGAGGTGTAGGATTGCAGCCACAGCTGGATCACTGTGTGCATTTGGGTCAGCTAATCAGTTGATTAAATCTACATTGATTTGCGTATGAGTAAGCCAATACCACGGGGGGAGCATAATTCTGATTTATTTTGGGGTTTTTAGATGGTTTATCTGAATCCACTTATGAATCACTTCCCATAAAAGATCTCAAAACAATTTCACAGCAAAAACAATCTGCAATGAAAAACAATTCCATATGTAAAAACAAAAAGGATGGATGGATGGATGGATGGAGTATAATTTATTATACGGTTAAAAATGAGCATACTCTATTTAATACAACAAATACTAATGTGGATAAAATAGAGAGAAATAAAATGGTATGTAAACAAAACTGAAGATTTAATAACTTGAAAAAGAGATAGAAAGTCTATGTAGACCCAGTAGGCAAGAATGACTGATGTATTTCGTACGTTGTCGTGTAAAATTTTGCAACTCATGCTGTAATCTTTGGTTTTCCATCTTCTAGAAGTAAACTGGACAGCTCCAAACTAGAACTTCTGGGCATTCTTCTAAGAAATGGGGCAATGGTCTTGTACGAGCATCTTGGTAATTTTTGTTGTTGTTTAGTTGTTTAGTCGTGTCCGACTCTTTGTGACCCCATGGACCAGAGCACGCCAGGCACTCCTGACTTCCACTGCCTCCTGCAGTTTGGTCAAACTCATGCTGGTAGCTTCGAGAACACTGTCCAACCATCTCGTCCTCTGTCGTCCCCTTCTCCTTGTGCGAAAGTCCTTGTGTGAGAAAGTCCCCTTCTTTCCCAACATCATGGTCTTTTACAGAGAGTCTTCTCTTCTCAAGAGGTGGCCAAAGTATTGGAGCCTCAGCTTCAGGACCTGTCCTTCCAGTGAGCGCTCAGGGCTGATTTCCTTCAGAATGGATAGGTCTGATCTTCTTGCAGTCCATGGGACTCTTAAGAGTCTCCTCCAGCACCATAATTCAAAAGCATCAATTCTTTGGCGATGGGGAATCATAAAAGGACATGGTCTGTGGTCTCTATCTCTCCATCATTACAAGGGAAGGGCTGTAAAAGGCTTGTTGGGAAAGGAAGGCCTTCAACGGGTGCCAAAAGGGCAATAGGGGCAGCGTGCCTGCCTGGTGCTTCATGGGAGGGACTTCCAAAGGGTGGGTACCACCAAGCTAGAAGCCCAGTTCTGCTGGGCTGCTCCCCATAGACTACCTTTGTGAATGTGAGAGAGAAAGGGCAGCTCTTATCCTAAAACAGCTGGAGAACCTTTTTGGTCCTGGGGGGCAGATCATTCTCAGGCCCCATCCCTTGGGCCAGCTTAGGCAGACAGGTGCAACCGGCATGACGTTGCGTGATGGATAGGCGGGCCATGATGCCCACCTGTCAAAATTCATTGCACAGGGTTCCCAGGCACCCAACAGCCAGCTAGGTAGGGGCATTGCCAGCACAAGGGGCATTGCCAGCCCTATGGCTGGTGCTATGGGAAATGCTGAGCATAGGGCTGGCAAAGCACTTCTTTTTTCCCCTTCCCACGTGGGGAAATAAGGGACAGGAGGCTACATTTTACAGGCAGGGCTAGGTGAAGGAGAAGTCGTAGATATCCTTTGCTCAGTCGATGTCTTTTTATTATTGATTGATTCATTGATTGGAGCTGCTTGCTTCGACTGCAACTCTTTGTTGCCTGCAGGGAACAGGCACACACAGCCAAACTGAGCCAGATTTAATCTCCCACCTCGATCATCAACTGTCAAGCAATGAGAGAGAGCTAGGGTTAAGTCCTGCTGCTTCGACTACATGTGCCTGTTCCCTGTAGGCAACAAACAGCTGCGTCCAAAGCAAGCAGCCCCCCAGCCGGCACAGAAAGGAACCTTGAACTGCCACAAGATGGTGGGCAAGCAACTGCAGTTTGGGGGAAATAGCCTCAGAGACAAATCTGGATCCCCTTTCAGGCCAGGTGGGCTAAGGGTTCCCACTCCTGTTCTGAAACAATGACTTCCACCTACTATTCCTGTTATGCCAGTGTGGTGTAGTGGTTAAGAGCGGTGGACTCGTAATCTGGGGAACCGGGTTCGCGTCTCCGCTCCTCCACATGCAGCTGCTGGGTGACCTTGGCTAGTCACACTTCTCTGAAGTCTCTCAGCCCCACTCACATCACAGAGTGTTTGTTGTGGGGAAGGAAGGAGAAGGAGATTGTTAGCCACTTTGAGACTCCTTCGGGTAGTGATAAAGCGGGATATCAAATCCAAACTCTTCTTCTTCTTCATTGATTTTATTTTTTTTAAAAATCACATGCAATCCAATTAACCAGCGAATCTGTTTTAGTCTATTATAATATTTTTATTAATCTAACCCATTAGATGACACAGCTCTAAAATAGAAAACATGCTGGTACATTTGTGTGTGTTTATGTGTGTGTGTTTGTGTGCACATAGATAGCTGTTTTGTGCTGCAGCAGACTAGCACCGTTACCCTTCCCGCATATATTAAGACACAACAAGTTACAGAGTTTAAACAAACACATTAGGCAGCATGTGAGTCAATGACGGCTGGGCCATGAATTACTTACTTTCAGTGGGTTGCGCGAGAAGCAGTGAAAACATAATTTCCCATGCTGCCAGCAAGCCCAGGTGCTTGAGGTATACAGAAAGCTGGTCTTCATTTCTCTCCCCAAACACTCCTCTCCCTGCTCTCTGCCCCCCCCCCCATGCTGAGGTACCTGGGGAATCTCCTAAAGCCCCTCTTCACCCAGTTAGACTGTGGGCATTTTAAAAACATCTCTCTTACCGAAAGATAAATTGGTTGAATCATCCCCCTCCCCTTTCATGGAAAGGACAGAGAATTATTTGGTTGCTGAGGCAACCTAAGTGTCAGCTCCCAAATGTTGCCATGGTGCTGTCAGATCTTTCCTCACTATTTTATTTTTATTTTATTTTTTACACATCAGGTCATGGCTCTTTGCAAACGACCACATCTGACTCTGGGCTGTAGCACGGCTAAAGGGATATGGGGGGGAGGCCAGCCAGGTGTCCAAGGGGCTCTCTCTAGATTGGTTGCTGGATGAAGTGCGGTGGTGCCCGGCCAAGGATGCTGAGTTCCTTTGGGATGGAGGGTGAGGTCTAGGGACCCTGATGACTTGGGATGCTGAGGGTGAGAACCTAGAGTGGTGGTGAGGGTTAGAACTCATAGATGCAATTAGGCCCCAGAAGGTGCTGGAAGTCAGGGTTCTTAGACAGGAGAGGGGGGTGCTGGAAGCATGAATCCTGAATTCTTAGGAGGAGACACTAGGCCCCTCTACACTGGTGTGGTGGTGTGGTTTTTGTGGTTGTACTCTGCAACATTATACTTTTGTTTTTTTTAATGTATACTGTTTATATACCAAAATGTCTTTGACACAATAACTGCGCCTTAGTGGTGGATTGACACTGGACCATCCACACACTATTCTGCTTTGTTAGCATTGGGGAAACATTTCTTCTGCAATGCTTCCCCAATTTTCCTTTGGGATGGAGGGTGAGGTCTAGGGACCCTGATGACTTGGGATGCTGAGGGTGAGAACCTAGAGTGGTGGTGAGGGTTAGAACTCATAGATGCAATTAGGCCCCAGAAGGTGTGGATGGGGGTTGGACTCGATGGCCCTTGTGGTCTCTTCCAACTCTATGATTCTATGATTCTATGACCATGATGGCATCATGGCCATCAAGGGGCGCTCTCTCTCTCTCTCTCTCTCTCTCTCTCTCTCTCTATATATATATATATGCACGCGCGCGCACACACACACACAGACAGACACACAAACAAAAGTGGGATATAAAATGAACTGCAACACATTTGTGGTATGAAAAGTTGCATGTTTTTAGAATGAAGCTATGGGGTGTTCACTGACTGGAAATGATCCAGGACGTTTGCCCTGAAGCTTTCGCAGAGGTCAATGGTGTGGCAAGACCTCCCGAAAGGAAAACCTTGCTTCAAGCGTGAAGGATCCGAGGATGCCTTGCACGAGGGACAGGGGGAATGTGCAGATGGGTTTTCGGTGCGGGGATCCAGACGGAGAGTGATTACCTGGCAGCCTAGAAGCTTGGAGGCGTCCTCGCTTTGGATTCCCCCAGAGCGCACAGAGTCTGGTGGCTGCTTCCCAGCAGGGGACTCTTCGCCACCAGGGACGCGCGCGTCGCGCTGGTAGCACAGTAAGTAGCAGAACTCGCTCTCTCCACAGGAGGGCACTCATGTCTCTCCTCTCTCACACGCACAATCTCACACAACCTCCCACACTGTGTCCACCCTCCAAACCATGCACACGCCTCTTCCATCTTCCTCTCCTTCATACAAGCGGCGCGCCCCTCCTTCTGTCGCCAAGAGCAACGCCGTCCTTCCTCTCCGTCTCCTCCTGCCTTTCCCAACCAGCTCTCGTAAGGTGCTTTTCTGTATACCCTGTGCTATAGTCACATTAAGAAATATGCTCCTTTCTCCCTCGCAGATGTGAATGACAAACCTCTTCACTTTGCCGAGAGCTCCGCGCACCCGCAACACTGACCCCCACCATAAGCCCATCATTCTACAACACACACGCACCTCAATATTTCTCTTTCTACACACACATACACATCCTCGTTAACTGACATTAATTCACAATTCTCCGGACATTATTTCACCGGACATTAATTCACCTGTGTATCTGATGCGTCCCAAACAGAATCCTAACCTTCCCCTGGCTCCACAGATTAGATTCCAGCCTACAATATAAACAATTTCCGGAGGCAATCACCCTCTGGGTGTTGCTGAATCTTCCCCGATTAGGTGACTTTCGCCGTGCAGTGCTTAGCAGCTCAAAATCTCTGCACCATTTGGTGAAGGGGGTGGGCATAGACCGACCCCCTTCCACAACTAGCCTGTCTTTTTAACCTACCTGGTGGTTGCTATGGCATGGTGGGTAAAGGGTGGCTTATAGGCGATCTTATAGCTCTCTGTCTCATGCACACATAGGAAAACTGCCTTATACTGAGATCCACTGGTTCATCCAGCGCGAGTATCCGTCACAGTGACTTGCAGCGGCTCTGCCGGGTTTCAGGCAGGGAGTTTTCCCCATCCCTACCTTGAACCCAAGACCTTCTGCATGCAAGGCAGATGCTCTGGCATCGAACTAGGGCCCTCCCCACATGCCGAGATGCACACAAACACACCTCTCGCATACGGACCGTATAGTGGCCGTATCTGCACCTCCTGCAACTTAAATCGCTTGCATGTTCCTCGCAAAGATCCCCTTTATCTGTGTGTTTAGGAGAGTATCCAGTGGATTTTTAAGCAGATCCCTGTTGCATTTGTTGAAGGGCGGCGCAAAGTGGAAGGAGGAAGCCATATTTTCTCTTGTTTGAAACTGGTTGAAGTTTGCGGGTATAATATGGCTATATCTATAAATCTCTGGGTTTGCTTTCCCCCCATGGCAGACTGACAGCTCACTCCGGCTCGGTCCTTTTCTCACAAAGACCTAAACAGTGGGGTGGGTCTCCACCTGCTAATGCTAGTTCCGCCCCCGCCATCTTCCTATCATCACTTTCAAAAGATTTCCCCCCCCCCCCCGGCGTTAGACCCACAAACACCTGAACGCTTCTAAGAACTGATCTGGCTTTGTTTTCAATTCGCCATTTCGAAGATCTCTTCTCCGCCCCGCCCCCCGCCACACACACACACACACACACACACACACACACACACACACCCCTCGACCCCTCCTTTCTTCACTTTTCTAGTTAACCCCACCTCTTCCTTCCCGGCCCCACCCCGCAGCCAGCAACGTTTCAGCACCACGGAAAGCGGACAGCTCCTTTGCTCTCTCTCGCTCACTCTCCCCAAACACACAAGCACAAAAGGCTACCAGCCTGCCTCTTCCTCGCTCGCGCTGCTCCTTTTCAAAAGAAGAACTGTTTTGATTTGCCTCCGTCCGATCTTTGCCTTTGATCTGCCCAGCAAACCTCAATTCTTCTGCCGAGAAAGCGGGAAGAGAAAAGGGTAAGATGCGTCCCTTTGGGACTTCGGTTTTCTAGCCAGAAGTGCTGTGCGAGAGAGGGAGGCTCCGCACCCAAGAGATTATGAGTTGTGCTGAATTTCTCTTTCTTCCTTTTGCCTGAGAGGATATATCTTTCTCTCTCTAGCCATCAAGGAGAGAGGATGGGATGGGCAGGATGGGCTTTTGAGAACAGAGGGGGGGGACCCCTTCCCCGGAAGGGGGCCGCTTTCCCCAGAGCTTGGGGAACACAGGCAGGTGGCTTACCTGTGTCCAGGACGAACAGGGAGACGCGACCGGTGAGCTTTGCACAGCGGATGGAACCAGGTGGGAGGTGGAAGCAGAGGAGGACGCTCGCTTGTTTTTCCTACCCAAGCGATGCCAGGTGGAGACTGAGGCCCAGGGGGGCGTTAGTGCCCAGGCAAGACCCGCTTGGCATCGAAAAGGGTGAGCGGGTGGAGACATGGTCAACAGAAAGCGCAATTGTGATTTTGAAGAATTGAGTGCTGAGTACGAACTTAAAAGAATCATGGCATCCTCCGCCACCTTCCCACGGCAGCTCAATGGGGCATGGCCAGTTGACCCCCACCAACACACACACACACGCATGGCTGCAAATATGACACCCCACCCCTTTTAAACCCATCTAAATAAGTGAACTCCATCTATAAGGCTTGAGCGCACAGGAAGCCAGCAACCCCTGACGGGGATGGGAGAGGGAGGGTGCGTGTCGAGGGGAAGATGTGGGTCTCCCGACCCCCAACCGTGCAGGAGATGGAAGGGAGGTGTGTGGATTGCTTGGCTGGAGAGAGGGAGGGGGCGTTTAAAGGAAACAGCCACTGCTTGGGGAAAGCGGGACTCATCCAACTGCCCTCTCCTTGGGGAGATAGACTTCGACAGGGAGCCTGGGTAGGGGGCAGGATTTGGGATCCCCGGTGGCTCGGCTATCCTCCGGGAAGGCAGGAGGCGAAAGAGGCTCATTTGGCAATAACGTCCTCAGTCTGGCGTCTGAGCCGATGGGAGTTGCTATAGTACCATCCACAATTCACGGCGAGGCAAGCTGCGGTCTGTTGTCTCCAGGGCGGGGCGGAACTTTAACACAGCTCGCGGAGGTGAACGGAGGCGTCGTCCAGCTCGACGCGCGTCAGGGCAGGCTAAGCCCTCCTCTCAGTAATAGGCTTTGGCTTTGTAGCATAGGAAGTAATGCTAAGAGTGCTTCTGAGCACGTTAAGAGAGCATCTCATCACTGAGTGAATTGCGGGGAGTGGGGGCAGTCAGTCATTAGTCTTCCACTCTTTCTCCAAAGAGTTCCAAGTGTTGTCCATTGTGGCTTCCTCCCTAATTTAAGATGGGAGCTACCTCAACAGGTAGGTTTAGGATGGAGACTGCACAAAGGCCACCCAGCAAAATCCTTGGCCAAATGCAGAAGTTTAAACCCAGGCCTCTGGCCCCCTAACCACTATGGTAGACTGGCTGAGGGTGGAGGGGGCGTTTCAGGGTGTCCGGGCAGGATCGGCCCCTGTTAAGAAACACTAAATCTCCTGCTTTGCCAACTTCTCCCTCTCCTACCCATACACATGCATGCTCTGTATGGGGAAGGCCAATATCACACTGGATCATAGAATGGTAGAGTTGGAAGGGACCCCGAGGGTCATCTAGTCCAACCCCCTGCAATGCAGGAATCTTTTGCCCAATGTGGGGCTCGAACCCACGACCCAAAGATTAAGAGTATCATCTTCTAACGACTGCTGTTAGCTCAGCTCAGTGACAGTGATTAAAAGGGATTAATTTCGATTTGGGCTCGCCAGGATTAATTGGAAACATGTTGCCAGAGTAGCTGTTGAGTACCAATCAACCCCCCCCCCGCTCCCCCCTCCCAACCTGTAATTAGCAAGGAAAATAAATTCTTCGAAGAGTGCTAAATTTCAACGTCTGCTTTGGCTTCTCACCTTTGTTCATGGCAGGGCTGTTTAACCCCTCTTTGACAGGCAAGGAATTCAACAGGTGAAGCTTTCTCCTCATTGCATCCTTATGTTAGCTGGGTGTGGGGCCACGCATTAACTTTGTGTCTGTGGTTCAACTGTTAGAAGCACAGCAATCCAGCCATCAAAAAGAAGGCAACACAATACAACAAACCTCACGCCCGTTAGGATTGCTGCTTTGAAACAAGCAAAACAACTGGCTTGGTTCTTTGAGAGCATGATATGCAGAAATTAAGCAGACAGAGCTCTTCCAGGCATTGAGATAAAGCCTCTCAGGCAGAGAAAGATCTGGAGAGCCTTTTAACCGAGGGATGGGCTATCGTCCCTCCCACTTATTAGGAGGTGAGTTGGCTTTTGAGGACAGCAATTGCAGTCAGGACTTCATTTTTGGGTGTGAAAACTGGAGTGACACAATGGGTAGAAAATAGGGAGGCGGAGAACCAGCTATTGAGTCTTTGGACAAGTCACTTAGTCCCTCATCTGTAAAATGGGAACATTCTGCCATGGCACAGCTAAGCTTTAAGGCCACACAGTGCTTCAAAAATTATTAACTGTCTGACCCATTAACATGGATAACATTTCAGCATGCTTCTATTCCCGTAGGGCTGTGAGCCAAGGGCTCCTAGATTTGTGACATGCGGCTTCTGAAAGGATGGGAGATGCCCCCACCACACCTCTTTCTTTTCACTCTTAAGCACTCTGTGCATGCTCTACTCTTGGAAGCAGGTGGAAGGGAGGGATGCAGACCTTGCGCTTGGTGTGCGTGTGTGTCCCTGCAGATGGCTCCAAGAGGAGGCTTGCATTTGGTTGCCATAGTTTTCCTAAGAAGATGGAGAGAGTTGCTGTGAATGCTCCCATATCACCAAGCCAGCCACCCCAGTCCTCTGCCAGGCATTTACCGTATTTTTCCGTGTATAAGATTATTATTTTTAACCCAAAAATTAGGTTTAAAATTGGGGCTCGTCTTATACATGGTTAGTGCTGAGGGGTGTTTTCTTAATTTGGAGTCTTATACATGGGGGTGTCTTATACACAGAAAATACGGTACATTGTGTGTGTGCATGAATGAAACTGCATCTCTGCTCCTTTGGCGACTCACTCTCAGCAGGTCTCCACTGTGCAATGGTTTTCTTTGAGCTCAGAGCTTGCAGTAAAATCTGAGGAGTGAGCCCCTGAAACTAGCTTCAACAGGAGTGAATTAGAGCAGGTGAGGTGAAGAGGGGCACTCAGCTTCCTAATTCAGTGGAGGCTGCTCTATTAGGACAAATGGGGCATTGCCCACCAATCTCAGTTTGCCCTCAGTCTGTCTCCACCTGCCTGCCTTCTTACTTAAAGGTGGGGAGGCAGGAGCTGGCTGTCAGCTTCCACCACTTCCTTAGGAAGAGAAGTCAGCAGGGGAGAGGGGGACACAAAGCTAAACTTTATTGGTCCTTCCTCTCATTGGCTCTCTAGCTCCACCTACTGTTTGGACCTCCTGCCTTCTACCCTGCCACTCCCAAAGGGCAGTGTCCACCACTGTCCTGATTCCTCTGGAAGACTGGAAGGATCCAGTTGGTTTTATTGGGCTTAATTTGAGCCAGCTTTTAGGACTTTAAGCTCATGCCACCAGTCCAGTATCTCCTGAGGCAATTGATCTGGGCTTTGTAGTGGACACCTGGCCAGAACTCGCTTTCCGTGCCTAGCAAGGTTGGAGTGGCGAGAAAGAGCATTCCGAGCCATGTGCAGAGTGCTCCCCCCTCAGTGTCTTGCCAGTAAACGAACAGCCAGATACATTGCGCCTGTGATTCAAAGGAAGGCCTCTGGTGATGTCCCAGTGTCCCTTGATTTAAAATACATAAAGAAATCCAGTGGGTGAGAGGTTTGGGAGGAAGCCAGGTCTCTTGAGTCTTCTGAGAGGTGAGGGAGCAAGTTAGAGCTGGAAAGAGAGTTAAGGTCGAACACACCTCCAGTGTCATTTTGTGATGCAGGGAGTGGGGGGGGATGGGCTGAGGGTTAACTGGAAAGAGCTTAGCGACCAACAACGCTGTTATTCTCAAGCTGGACATCTTTTGGGATTACATATTTAATCATGTTCCAAACCTAATCATTATGTATAGTGGTATAGTCTCTCTCTCCCTCTCTCTCTCTCTCTGACACACACACACACACACACACACACACACACACACTTTGAACACAAACACTTAAAATCATCAGAGGCATGTGGTGCCTTAAAGCAGGAATGGGAAAACCTGTTCTCCCCAAATGTTACTAGACTCCAGCTCCCATCAGTCCCAGGCAGCATGGTCAGTGGTCATGACTGATGGAAGTTGTAGTCCAACAACATCCAGAAGGTTCTCCCTGCCTTAGAGCCAGTGTGGTGTAGTGGTTAAGAGCGGTAGTCTCGTAATCTGGGGAACCGGGTTCGCGTCTCCGCTCCTCCACATGCAGCTGCTGGGTGACCTTGGGCCAGTCACACTTCTTTGAAGTCTCTCAGCCTCACTCACCTCACAGAGTGTTTGTTGTGGGGGAGGAAGGGAAAGGAGAATGTTAGCCGCTTTGAGACTCCTGAAGGGGAGTGAAAGGCGGGATATCAAATCCAAACTCTTCTTCTTCTTCTTAGAGACTGGCAAACTTAGGCCTCTCTGGCATGATACATTTGAAGCACCGTGATTCCTCTTTAAACCTCAGTGGCTCCCCTTCCCTCAAGAAATTGAACCCTGGGAACTGCAGTTTGTTAAGGGTGCCGAGAAGAATTGACAATTAGATCGCTTTGTGAACGGTAGCTCTGTGAGGAGAATAGGAGTATCCTAAGAACTCTCAGCAACCCTTAACAAACTACAGTTCCCAGGATTCTTTGGGGGAAGCCATATGACCATTTTAAGTGATACGATACTGCTTTGAATGTATAGAAGAAGAGGAGAAGAGTTTGGATTTGATATCCCGCTTTATCACTACCCAAAGGAGTCTCAAAGCAGCTAACATTCTCCTTTCCCTTCCTCCCCCACAACAAACACTCTGTGAGGTGAGTGGGGCTGAGAGGC